CTCTCTCTCTGTCTGTGAAATTTTCGATCGAGATCGATGTAATCGAAGCGGGTTCAAAGGTTGATAATTATCCCTCTGTTCCAAGACTCGACTCGACTCGATCCCCCTCTCCCTTCTTCCCACGGGAATCGAGCCGATCGTCCGGTGTCCCCGGTGCGTGCATCCGAGCACGTATTTCGCTAATCGATTCGATCCCGCGTCGGGCGGAATTTCAATCGAGAGCGCGATCGTCGAATTCCACTTTATAGGGCGAAATAATACGTGTAGTAAAGAGAGGCGGTTTTGCCTCCTCCTTTTTCTCCCTCCAGGTGATGACAGTGGCACGGAACCGCGGAGGCTAAGGTGGTGGGGGCGTCGCGGCGAGGTGAAGAAGTGGCGAGGCTCGTGAAAATTGGGGCCGGGAACGGACGATCCGGGCAGCGGTAGTGGTGGCGGAACGGCAGGGGTAAGTGTTGGGCGAGTTCGAGGATGAAAGGATTGTGGTTGCTTGATTTTTAAGTTATTTTTAATTTTTTATAACGGGTCTAGTCTTAGTTTTTCTCTTTTTAATTATTAGAATATTGGAAAGAAAGTTGTTGCGATTTTTAACTGGTAAATTCGAATGCATGTAGCTTGGCTCGAAGAAAAATTTATTAATCAAAATAAAGACAAAATTGCGAAAAAATTTTGCAATTTTTGGCAACGAGAGACAAGTTTTGTTATTCCGGTTGAATAAAATTCTGGTATTCCTGAAATTGGAATAGGAAAATTGTTCGAATTTACTTCTTGTCTATTATATTTCCACACCCTGAAAAATCAAAAAAGTTAATTCGAAAATGAAATTAATATCACAAATTTTCATAGAAAAATTATATACCAAGTCAATACAATTTAACACCAACTTAATCGAAAATAGAGCAAAATCAAAATAACTTTCTTTCCAACCTAATGCATTCGATCTATAATTATTAAAAATTAATTTCAAATTTCATCTAAAATTAACGAATTTAATCATATTTATTAAAATCCAATATTAATTTATCAAAATAAAATTTTTTTATTAATCCTTACAAAATTTATCATTAATAATTATTTTAAATTTTATATATAATTCATCGTTAATTAATTTTTAAAACTGTAAAACGTAATTTCCTCTATTTTTTTCTTAATTTTAAATAATAATTATAAAATTAACCTTTTTCAAAATTATTGTCGCGACGAGTCGAGACGATTTATGCTCGGTGAATTTCTCGAACAGTTAACTCACCCGCGAATTAACTTTTACTATCCTTGTCAAGGAGAGAAAATTCGAATATAAATCGCCATTCACCTATTATCCTCTCTCTCTCGTTCCTTCGATACCTAAAAATCAAACTCATCTCTCGCTTCGAAATCCGAATCTTGCCTCATTCTACTTTGAAAATAATATCCCTATTGCCCCTCCAACCGAATATCAACTAATCCCTCCTAAATTGCATTCCTTCACAAGAATCCCTTCGCAAGATCATACGCGTGACGAGGCGAGGAATCCGTTTGCGCCGAAGCGATATTCTGAAAAAAGTCAAACGAATTTCGTCGCCATTTCCAAAATCCAAGTGAGTCACCGTTCGAGTGCGAAGATTGAAATCGTTGGCGAAATGGAGGGGAGGGAGAAGAAAAGTGTTGGAGACGCGCGATTAGATCGAATTAAGTACCTCGAAAGGGGAAGGGGAAGTATAACGAGTGGAACGCATTCCGCTGTTTATCGACTACGCCGAAACGTGCAATTACACACGTGTGTTGGAATAGGCGATTAGGGGGTATAATTTATTCGATTCGGTTCGATTTAATTGAAATACAAACGGAAGGGGAAGAGCACCGTTTCGCTTTTCCTGTTGTTAACACAGAATACGGACGACACTCTGCTCGCTCAAGGCTCTAATAAAAAATATAGCATGAATTTATGCACTTTTTAAAAATATAACTCACGTTATATTTTTTATATGTTTGTTTATTGTGTAGGCTTTTTTATTATATTATATACATTTAAGTATTATTTATTATAGAAAATTAAATCGATTAATTATTATTATTCACTTTACAAACTTATAATAATGCTTGAGAGTGTGATGAAGCATTCTTTTTTGCGCAATAGTTTCGCTTCTTTTTCCATTCGACGAACAGATTTTTATATTTTTTTGTCGAGAATTTCCTCTTTTCTTGATTAATTGCTTCGAGTTTTTGTTTTTAATTCCTCGAGTCGTGGATCGAAAAATCGTTAAAACGAGATATCTCGTCACGTGTTTATTCGAGCTTCGAATCACGAGGAAGAAAAAAGAAATTTTCATCGTCTTTTTGTGATTTACAGGTACTATGGGAGCGGGGGTATGGGGGGCGGAGGAGGGCTGCAAGCCACGGACCTCCGGCGAAGGCTCGAGTCCACGAGGTGTTCGGGAACCACGACTCGTCGTCCCCAGAGTCCTCCTCGTTCCTTAAGGTGCGATGCTTCCCGACCATGCCACGGATACACCACCAATGACCAGGAAGAAAGGTAAACCCTCTCCCTCCCTTCCCCTTTTTTTCCTTCCTTCCTTCCTCGTGTCTTCCTTGCATTATTTTGGAAATAATACGATTTCGAATTAATTCAAGTGAATCCCTTTCTTCCACGTTTTCTTCTTATTTTAGAAATAATACGAATTTGAATTAATTCAGGTAAATCTCTATTTTTTTCTCTCTCTCCCTCCCTTTTTTTCTTTTCTTCCTTTCATGTTTTTTCCTCGTGTCCTCCCTGCATTATTTTGGAAATATTACAATTTCGAATTAATTCAGGTGAACTCTCTCTCTTTCTTTTTTTCCTTTCTTTCATTCCACGTTTTCTCCTCGTGTCCTCCCGTTGCATTATTTTGGAAATAATACGATTTCGAATTAATTCAGGTGAATCCTTTCCCTCCCTTCTCCTTTATTCCTCTTCCTTCCACGTTTTCTTCCTATTTTAGAAATAATACGAATTTGAATTAATTCAAGTAAATCTTCTCTTTTTTTTCTCTCTCTCTCTCTCTCCTTCCCCTTTTTTTCCTTTCTTTGTTCCACGTTTTCTTCTTGTGTCTTCCTTGTATTATTTTGGAAATAATATAATTTCGAATTAATTCAAGTGAATTCTCTCTCTCTCTCTTTCTTTCTCTTTCTCTCTTTCCCTCCTCTTTTTTCCTTCCTTCCTTCCACGTTTTCTCCTCGTGTCCTCCCATTGCATTATTTTGGAAACAATACGATTTCGAATTAATTCTGGCTTCCTCGAACGTGATTTTTCTTCCAGCAGAGTCGAGTTGCAAGCGACTCTCGCCTCCGGTCAACCCACGTGTACAGGTTGGCGGCCGTGCAGACGACAGGACGGGAGGAAGGAGGATGGAGAAGGGAAAGGAGGGTGGAGGTGGTGGAACGGCGGATCCGGCGTAATCGGTTCCGCGCGCGGGGCGAGGATCGTCGGCACGGATCGTCAGGATGGGAGGAAGGAAGGAAGGAGCGGGAAGAGGCATCGGCTTCGATGGCGTCGAGGGGATTTACGGTGGATCGCGGACGTGGCAACGAGGACCCTCCTCCTCGGTATCGTGCTTTTCGTTACGCCAGGTACGTGTTTCTCTCCTAAATCCAAACTTTACTCCTCCCTTCTTTTTCATTCCACCCCCCTCCTGGATTAACGGAGGGCCTGTCTCAGCCGTGGGATAAGATCTTCGAACTCGTCCGACTATCTTTTCCTGACGATTGGTAAATAATAATCTCCGCTCCAAACACGTGGAAAACCTTTCTCGGATGGAAAGGGGGAATTTCGATTTTCCACTCGTGCAATTTCTTTCCATGCTTCTTCTCCTCTTCGTGTTTTCCCCTTCGAACCGACGGTTTCAATTTCGAAACCGAGCTTTTCACTTCTTCTCCTTCCTCTTCTTCTGATCAAGATGGAACGAACGTCGAGACGAGTGAAACAAAACAGGGAGAGAAAAAAGATCGAAGCCCAGAGTCTGTCTTTCGCGTACACCGATTGTGAGCAGATATGAAAAGGGTCGCATTTAACCAATTTATCGGAACGAGACGAATAAAAAGGCAACACGGTCGATGCGTCCTCGTTCCAAAGGTTGTTTCCCTCTTTTTTTTTTTTTTTTTTAATTCATGGAACACGACCACTACCACCATCCCCCCTTTCGACGCTCGTTAGTTTCATCGGCGAAAACAATTTCATTAAAAACTCTGGCCTCTCGTCCTGGAAAACTCGCGTTGCACATCCTGCTAATGACGCGCGTATGGAAACGTTACGAATCGATGCGATTAAAACTCCATCTTCTCGCACTCTTTCCACGGGAATAGACGTTTCCCCTCGCCAAGAATCCGAATCAGATCGATTTTCCGAATTTTCGAAATCGAGACTCGTAAAATTAATGGTGAGATTTTTCGAGGAATCTTTCGCTCGATCGATTTTCCAAAGAAGAGATTCGTAAAAAAAAATTTGGTAAAATAGTATCAAGTCGTTCCAACTTAATTTATTCATTTTCCAATTGTGTTTCCAACGAAATCTCCTTCAAGAATTCTGTATCGTTGCATTCCTCGCTTGTCACCTCTCTACACGAACGACTCGAATTTTTGCCAAGTGACGAGTGTACGTAACCGTTAAAACTTCTAATTCGTTCCAATGTCGAAAAGAAAAACGGAAGAGTCTTATCGAGTCACAATTTTTTATTCTGATCAACTTTTTCTTTGTATAGAATCCTTTAAACTTCTCCATTCCGACTAATCCCTTTGATAAACCACTTTTCTATCACTTTTATATAACAATTCAACAGTTTTATTACAACCCGTGGAACATCTTTCCAAATATCTAAGATCGTTCCTCCAAGTAGTCGAATAAGCGAATAAAACGGCGAGCCGATGAGAACTTTCGCTGTGACCCGAGCACGCCAATTAATTCCTCACCCGGTTTTATTTGTATAAATCGATTCGAGGGGGCTCGTTCCTTCGATTCCCCGGGGGGAAAAATTTGGAAATAGGGGGAGGAGGAAGGGGGGAAGCCGCGCAACGCGGGGTGGTGCGTTTCGATTAAATTCCTCCTCGAGATTGCCGGGATTCTGGGGGAGGTCGGGGCACGGCATATGGTCGCTATAAATTACGCGTAGCTTCGAGGCATCCGCTCGCCAACGATCAACCAACAACGCTTTCCGTACCCGCGTTTCGAAGCCGGCCCAGATGGCGAGCGATCAAACTCGTGCTTCTGTCTCCTCCTCCTCCTCCTCTTCATCGAGGAGGGTACGTTGCCCTTGTGCCTAAAGGTCCGTTCCACGAGACGAAAGACGAGCGCGCGCGATCGATCCAGCAGCCTGGAAAAAAAAAGTTGGGCCGCGGTTTCGTGCCGCCTCTCTCTCTCTCTCTCTCTCCGCTCGACAATTTCGCTGCCCGATAAACCCCCACGCTGCTGGGTCAAAGCTGAGGCCGTTCACCCACTTGCCCGATATATATATATCGCTTAACCGAGAACACCGTCCAATTACGCTAAATAATTAAAATCTATATATATATATATATAGAAGCGAAAGTTAGTCTCCGGGAGAATGCTCGTTAACCCCCGGTTAATTGCTTCTTCCGCGTCATCCCAACGACGTCGTCATCGTCGTCGTCGTCGTCGCGCGATTAACTCGCGATACGTGTTGGCTTGGCACGATCGAATGGCTCCTCGTTTCACGGTTCGCCGGTGACTGAAAATTTCAAGCGAGCGACAAATGTGGCAACGTAGCTCGTTACGCCTGTCCTATCGCGTGTCGAAACCGCCGAAAGTAAAAGAGGAAGGAAAGAGGCTCTCTCTCTGTCGTCTTCTCTCCGATGGACGCGCGCCAGGTGCGGATATTCGAATCGCGAGCCATTGTTTCCAACGGGCGAATAGGCAATCTCGCGCTTTTTACGCTGCGTCGGCCGGCGTGTTCTCTCTCTCTCTCTCTCTCTCTTTCGCAAATTCTCATTTGGCTGTTTCGGGCGAACACCTTCTCCGTATATTCCCCTTTTTCCGCGCTCTCCTTTCGCCTCCTTTGTCTTTATATTCCACGTGCATGAAAACAACTCTTTCGATCGATATATCCTTTTTCCAATTTTCTCTTTCTTCGTTTAACGCGTCGAAGATGGCGTTTTTCCTTCGTCCTTTTATTTGTCGTCACCCTCGATATCGAGGATAAGAGATTCAGAATGTGAACGCGTTTCGCGAGACAATTATCGCCGTCAGCAGGATCTTTGAGGAGCAAATAAAATACGAAAATCGATTGGCATAATTGCCTCGAAACTTGGATACTCAAAGTCAAAGTCGGCCGAGAAAGTATCGCGGGTACGACGATCGAGGCGAAACGGGAAGAGGAAGGCGTTGTTGAGAGATTGGTCGGTGAAGTAAAAGATGTTGGAAATGGAAATATGTTTCAGGTCTGTGCAACCAGGACGCGGTGCACATTACGGCAATCCTTGGGGAGAGCGTTGTCTTCAACTGTCACGTAGAGTTCCCCGGTGAGCACCCAGTGCCCTACGTTCTCCAATGGGAGAAGAAGGTAGGAGATGCGGTACGATATCGGACGATACCCTCTGCTCTCTATATCCGTGAGTTAAATACGTGGGCCCCACTCGACGCTCGCCACCGACATCCCCCCGCGTTCCGCCATCACCGTCGTCGCATCGCCTTTCAACGATTTTCTAACGCCTCTCTCGCGTGCGTCTCTCGTACTCTTCTCTCATTCTTTCTCTCATCGATTTTTCTCCGCGCTCCTCTTTTTATCGCGCTCTTTCTCCGCCGATCATCGCCCGTCGCCACCATCGATCGCCATCGTCGTCGAAAAACTTTCCCTTTCTCTCCTCCTCGCGAATTCGACGAGGAAGCGGAGGNTATATATACAACGTTTCTTCTTCTTTTTTTTTTGTATATTGTATATTACATTCGATATGATTATCGTATCGTATATTTTTCTTTTCACTCGATATACTATATTATGTGTATCTGATCCGGACTGGAGAGGGCAGAGAACGTTTTCTACGACGTCGAATTCGACGACGAGAACAACTACAACAACTACAACTACAACTATAACAACAACAACGACAACAATAATTAATAACGACCAATTCATTCGACCACATCCGTTCTCTCAACCACCTATAATATATATCCCACTCTATATATATATATATATCTCGTTTCGCGACTCTCTCTCTCTCTCTCTCATTATTCGCACTTCGAATCCTGTCAATCATCCGCGATACGATTGCGATACAATTGGAGCGTCGAGGCGCGCGTCGCCAAACGATCGATCCTCGATCCATCGATCGATCCTTCCGATCTTAATCGAACGCGCCTCGCCGCACCAACCATCTTTTCCTTCCCCCCCTCCTCCCCAATCTTTTATCGCGGAAACAGTTGATTGCACCGTTCTTCCTTTCTTTCTTCCTCTTCGCTCTCAATCTCTTCCGATCTCTCACCGAAAATACCGTTTCCGCATTACGCCCCCTTCCCCTCCCTCCTACACTCGATCGACTCGATATTTCGAGCTGGTCGATCGAGGGAGGAGGGGGGTAGATAACAGGGGGGCGATGCGACGATTCCCCCCCTTCCTCCTCTCGAAGGCGGGGAAATGGAAAAGTTCACGTCTCTGTCTCTCTAACATCTGGTGCTTTTGCATGGAGCCTCGAGGAGGCGCGAGCGGGCCCGGTCGGGCCCCCACCCCTCTCCTCCTCGAAGAGGAGGAGAGGAGGGGAGGGGATCGACGAGGCTCGCGCGCGATGCATGTCCTCGTTATCTGATAAATAGCGTTCTCGTTGGAGGAATAATAATTGAACAACCGCGATCTCGGCGAGGCAGGTTGTTGAGCACCTTGCATGCCGTAGTTTCTTCCGCCTAGAAACTTGTCTCCTGTTTCTCCGTTTGTCAGAGACGAAAAAGACGAGACATCGGCTCGAAAAGTTTTTGCGAACCCCTTCTCCCAGATCTAAAAGGTAAAAAGGGAGAATCGACGACTCGATTAACCCGGCTCGATTACCGGACGATTTAGAGAAACGCATTAACCGTCGATTCAATATTGACAGGGGGCAAATCCTGCGCGTCCATCCTCCGTGTAATTAATTAACGGGATCGATCGGGACACTCGACAATACGACTATGATTGCGCTGCCCGATATTCGATTTCCGAATAAATAAAATAAATTCACAAGCTTTTCGAGATAAACTCTCGAGAGATAGTCGATTCGTCGCGATTAATTAAAAGTAAAAGTATTGCAAGAGGAACAAAACAACTGATGTTTGCGCCACTCCTGAGGGTAGTACCCCATATCGGCTTAGCCAGCCAGATTATGTTAAATGGCGTAATATTTCCGGCGTCAGGAAGCTGAAGACGTAGATATTTTGCTATCCTTAGGAAAAACCCTGCTCTCGTGCTGTTATGCAGTTGGACCTACCCCATTTGAGAAGACGGTTCGTTTAGTCCAACGAAGGACCACGAGGAGGTAGAACCGTCTATTGCCAGATCCCGTGCACGAATTGGAAATTCGAAATGGGGGAGTCTCGTTTCCTATTTCCTTTTTTTTTTTGCTGGATATAAATCTCGCTGCGACTGACACGCTAATTTCTGTCTCTCTCTCGATGCCTTTGGATGCGTACCACGAACCTATCGTGATTCGTGACTGAAAATTGGAGCGTTGTTTGGAAACAAAGGGGAAGGGGAGGGGGTGCGTCGAATGGTACGTCAAAAGGACGCAGAACCGGATGCGTTTCGAGATCGTTTCGCATCGTGGCTCGTTCCTTGCGCCCTCCTCGTATTCGCTCTTTGCCGATTCTCTCCGGCTGGCTGGATGAAAGGGAGGCAAGGCATTAGGGAAGGTTGTTGCGTACGCGAGTGGAGCGTTTCCTCCTCCACGAGTTTCTCTTTTTCTCGTCTCCTCGGGGAACGGAGAGAGAGAAAGAATAACAGGAGCTGGACAAAATTATTTTCTTTCGATTTAGAGCTTGTAGGGAGATTTATTGTCTCGTCGAAAGTATGAGAAGAAGAAAAAGAAGTATGCAAACATTTGAAATGATTTAAGTGGTCGCGCAAAATATCTGCGTAACGAAAGAAATTAGCTTGGAAAGAGAAACTTTGGATCTTGAGATGGATATGGGCCAAACAGTGATAATTTAACAAAATAAAAACGATGAAACTGTAACCAACCGGCGAATAAAAATAAAATACGAAGTTAATTTTACGTTTAATTTACGAAAAAAAAAA